AGCAGCTGCCGCGGCAAGGGCGCGCGAGCAACTGATCCAGCAGTGGCAACAAAACTGGAACGCGAGCACAAAAGGTCGATGGACACACTCCCTGATAGCCGACCTTCAAACATGGCTGAACAGACCACATGGGGAAGTCGATTTCTACCTGACGCAATTCCTCACCGGTCATGGTTACTTCCGAGAATATCTTCATAGAATGGGAAGGGTGGACTCACCGTTCTGTCACTACTGTGGAAACGTCGAAGATAACGTGTACCACACATTCTTCACCTGCGAACACTTCTTGATTTCGCGCAGAATGTTGGAAGAAAGACACGGAGACATAACTCCGAACAACATAGTTGGGGTAATGATTTCCAGCGCAGAAAAGTGGGAAGCAGTTGCGAGATACGTGAAATTCGTACTCCGCTGCAAACGAGAGGACGGTTGTCTACTGAGGACACCCTAATGAAACGCCCCTACAAAAGAGCAGCCCCAAGGCTCTAACAGCGCGCTCCTGCATCTGAAGACATGCATAATTGCGGTGCCAGATGCGGGATTCTTGCGCGGGCGGTGGGAGTTTGGGTTTTAGTGGGTAGACCAACACGCTTCGGTGGGAGTCCCACACTCGGGGAAGGTAGTATAGATACTAGCGCCCCCGGCCAGTGCATAAAGCATTGAAGCATGATTTTCTCACACAAAGGGGAAGGACCTACAGTTTTACGCCGACTCCGAACGGCGATTGTATTTTTATGAGAAGCTGCTTTTCATGGCAGACATACACTCGAAGGTTTGTCATTGCCTACCGAGGGGAGACCGCTGTTAAGAAAAAACCGTTTTTCTATATTTTTTTTGGCGAATTTGCTTTGACCAGGGCTTGAATCAATACATCACTGCAGCTGCCTGCAAAAGATAAAGCCAGCTTCCCGACATAAGCTACTATTCCATACGACGAACACAGATATGGAGTGAACTGTTCGCTTTTGTTCGAGCACTTAGTCAACCAAATTTCATGTGCGGCGTTGGTACAGAAAGGGAGTATTCGCTTACCGAAACTGAGAACACCGATTCGAATCGAAGCTGGCGCAAATTTTCATTTTTTATGTTTTAAAAGTGACTAGTCGCTTTTTATACCCGTTCGGGTATAAAAGGGAACAATGAGTATCTTCATAGGACATGCAGGAACAAAAGCGAACAGTTCATTCCATATAAAGAGATCAAAAGTGGTATTAGTCGCATTTGAATATTTACCACTATACAGTACTTTCATTGACGTTTATAGTAAGGTCAAACACGTTTCTGTTTGATTTTACTATTTCCCCCTCGGTGTGAAATTAGTAGAAAATGAGTTCGATCTTTGGGTCCCTCATAAATCTCTCGTACACAAACGAAGGCGAAAAGATGATGATTTGGGTCACACGCAAGATGAAATGAGTTTTTTTTATTTAAATTGTTAAGTCCTAGAACCAAAGCAGAATATCATCAACGCTTGGGAGGAAATAAAAACTGTTTACCCAAAACTTTACGGACTTTTGAAAAAACTGTAATTTAGTTGGTACCTCGGTGTCCGCTGAGCGCCTTTTTTCAAAAGCTGGTGCTACAGCCACCGAGAAACGCAACCGCTTAGCAACAAAACGCTTATCAAAGCTTTTGTTTTTGCAAACTTGGTTGAATAATAAATAATTATCGCCGCTAAAAATATTCGTTTTATTTTATTTAAGGGTAATTAACAAGAGAATTAGAAATTTTTTTATGGAAATGTGTTTTTGTGAATACTCACTGTAAAAAAGTGCCTTAAAAATTCGAGTAATCGATTATTTCTCAATAACTGCAATTAAGTTTTTTGCATCCCTAATTATGACACTATTGAAACAAATGAGCGATATGTACATATGATTTACATATGTTAACTTTATTACCGCTTGCTGCTCCAAGGAGAAGTTCTCAGGCATAAGACTTAAAATTTAAAAAAAGTTGGCAGCTCAATTTTCACTGTTATTCATAAAATATGCGGTTTTATGTGCAAACTGAAACTTACAAATTTTTATAGAACTACATATGTATACAGCGGCCGCTGTGGTGTAGTGGTTAGAAGAGCGCATTACAATTCCGCATTTAGTATAACTATGTATAAATTCTGTTCTTTAAACAGTGGTGAAATAAACTTGGAAATTGTCTTTATTATAACCAGCACATTTGATTTTAAAATCAGATAAAAAGTAGTGAAGTAAGTTATGGATAAGCGCATCAAGAACGAAAATAAAATATTTTTACCTAAAAAAAATCCCTCAGGTACTATAAGAAACCCATTTTCATTTTGTATTGGACTCTACCTATAACCTGCACTATATTATGTATCCGGTGTATTCCTTTTTTTTTGTAGCACTGCGCTATCTAAGAAACAGTCTAAGTGGAATTATAGCTTTTTGCTTTAGAACTTTTCATATGTACACCAATGCATACATAAATATATGTACTTGTTTGATTTTTTTTTTCTAGATGGAAGCACCAGTTTAAACTTTTATTGGAAGAGTCTGGATTTGTGACCCCGGGAAAACAGTTATCTGAAGTTCGTGTTCTCTTCATGGGGCGTGAATGTTTCGAGGCTTTATCAGAACATGACTGTCAACAAATTTATGATATTCATCAAGACGAAATAATTGAGAAGAGTAAGCAAAACTTCATAGAACTATTGCTGGAGAACGCCCAATTTTTTCAACAGTTTAAAAATGTGGATATCATTACCCAAGAAGATGTTCGGGCTATAACAGATCTTATACAGGACGATTCCAGGTAATTTTTTAACCGGCTTCAAAAAATAGCTGAGGTTATCTATTTATCGTGTATAGTTTTTTTTTATATTTGTTCGTGAACCGATTTGAAGGATTCTTTTCGCGATGAGTTAAGGACAGCCCCACAATGGTGGTACTTAAATTTTATCAACGTCGGTTGGGTAATGATCATTATCTTTAATGATAATGATAATTGTGGTAATGATGAAAATAATTCGAATGGGAACGATGACACGAGTTTACCCATCACAAAAAAAAAATAAAAAATAACCTAAAAAATAAAGAACAATCTTCACAAAATAAAACACAAGTGTGATAAAACAAAACGAAAAAATTGTTTCTTACACTTAAGTATATACTGAAGAATTATAAAAAATAAATTAAATACTTATATTTGAAGCCGAGAGGGTAAACTACTTACCTACCTCATACTGCTAAAACAGTCGTTTTCATCAAAATTAGGTAGAACCTTAAATAACTCAAAGCTCATGATTCTCATTATCGATTTGTATCATCGACTTGCATTATAAGCAGCATTAGTACATAACATTCCGTAAACCGGCTGTTCAAACCGAAATGTGAATGTATGCACAGTAAAAATTTATTACAAAGTAATCGTGCATGGATCATAAAGTAGGTTCTCGGCCCCCCATAGTTATGTTTCATTTATAAAAGTTGGTTTTTACTTTTAAACAAAACAAAAAAACTTATCATATTTTTTTTACCTAAATATTTTTTAAGAACTAAAAGATAGATAATTCCTTGATATGAGTGTTTTTGCTCCTACCAAAAATACTTGCTTCTCAAAGCGGTTGAGGCCAACAATTTCAGTTTGACCTCCGCATCATACTTTTGCTATACATAGCGTCGCTGTAGTTCATAAGCATGAATGAAGCTTTTCTACCAATTCCACGACGGGCGGTTGTACGTACCGGAATGACTTGGGTTTCACCCGACCAACGGCTGTTGTGCTGGTGATATAACCCCGTTTAGATTGGTGAAGTCGTTTAATCGTTGTTCGTCCCTGAGCGATACCAGCGGGATGCTCCGCGGACCAGAAACTTACTGCTGCTGTGTATGCCAAAAAACCAACCTTCATTCAGCTCTAACTTCCGTGTGAGGACTAACCAGCAGCTCTTGGCCCCTCATACAGTCTTCTCAGTGTGTCAGTCCAGAATATATCGTAACGTGACATAAGTTATGTGCAATTCCTGCCTGGGGTGGTGCCACTTTAAAGTATGTTCTGGTCTGCGTACCACCCGTGAATGGAAAAATAGCTACCACAGTCCCTGTTTAGAGCTCTGCAGCCGCATTCGTCATACGAGATGCCGCCGATCGCCACCCCCAGGCAGCAACTTCAACAGCGGCAAATGCAAAGGGTACTATGCAATGCTATGCAACACCACTTATCCTTCACCCCCCTACAAGCTTGTTAGCTTTAAAATATCCGCATCCGCATTCGCATCCGCGGATGTTTAAAATTCCACATTCCTAATATGTACATTAGAGTGGTTCAAACAAATTTTTTTTTGGAAATTCATAAACGCTACCTCAAATTATTGTTATTTGTGATAAAAAAAGAGAAACGTGTTTTTTTATTTTGAAAAAAAAAGTTTTCTTAGAGGTCGCGCTGGTCGGTTTTTTATAAAAACGCTGATGTTCTCATTTTTTTTTATATTCTTGACATGTTAAAATGCAGCTAAAAATTTGTTTTTTACATATAATTACTCTGGTATTATTGGGGAACATTCCCTTAATTACATACCTGTCTTGGGCAGTTAGAATGGGCCTACTGCCCGAAAATATGCTCTCGAAAAGAGACTAGTAAAATTTAAACGTTGACACTGAACGATTTACGCATTGCCATGGGTTGGACCTTGTTACCAGGGGGTTTCTGGGGTTGCTAGTTAGGGATCTGAAGTCAGTTTTTCTAAATTCAAAATGGCGGATCCAAAATGGCGGTCAATTAAAAAAAAATGATTGGATTCGTTCGAAACCCGGCACTCGAGAGTTTTTGTGGTCGCCGATTACAAATCTGAAGTCAATTTTTTTAAATTCAAAATGGCGGATCCAATATGGCGATCAAATAAAAAAAAGTACTAAAATTAAAACGTTGATACTGAACTTTTTAAACATTGTCAAGGGTTAAAACACTGTGGTAACCCTAAGTTTCGCATTGAAATCGTACACGATATGGCAACTGCATTTTTAGCATACTCTTCTTATTTAGACATTCGCATTAAAGTTTCCCGCTACTCAATCCGAACCTTCTAGAAATATTTTCATCAGGTGATCGGAGTACTTAAATTCCTGCTTCAACAAATACTGTATTAATTACCGGTCTTGTCTCGTGATCACAGACAGTGATATTGTANTTTCGCATTGAAATCGTACACGATATGGCAACTGCATTTTTAGCATACTCTTCTTATTTAGACATTCGCATTAAATTTTCCCGCTACTCAATACGAACCTTCTAGAAATATTTTCATCAGGTGATCGGAGTACTTAAATTCCTGCTTCAACAAATACTGTATTAATTACCGGTCTTGTCTCGTGATCACAGACAGTGATATTGTATAATTTTAGTAGACATATCTGTAGATAATTAAGAGTTGAATAAAGACTATTGAAGTAAATTGTCTAAAGTGGTGACCCCGAAGAAGTGAACGCGTACAACAAGCTACAACATGCCACCTGGCGAGGAAGAGCAAGGTGCTAGTGGAGCACCCACGAATTACGTGCACAGCGGCGTCACACCGCCAAAACCAATGCAGCACATGACAGCTCAAAGCGATACTGTTGACAGCCTCGCCATGAGGGTGCCTGTTCCAACATTACACGGGCATTCCATCAACAACATAGAGTCCTGGTTCAAGCGACTAGAGGCGTACTTTTCAATCATCGGCTTCGGTAAAATGAATGCTGATCAGCGTGACCAAGCCAAATTCAATATTGCGGTTATGCACATGGATGAAAGGCTCCATGAACAGACTTTTGAAATTATCCGCAATCCACCGGAGAAATGCAAGTACGACGCTCTACGACAAGCAATTTTGGCCAGATTCTCCACATCACCTATGGCAAGATCNGAACCGATGTAACACGAGACCAGCAACTCATAAAGGACTTCTGGATACAACGACTACCAGTCTCAGCACGCGCAGTCATCGCTGGAGTTACAAAAGCAAATCCTGAAATGACGGTCGAACAGCTAGCATCAATCGCGGACGAAATTGTTGATGCCGTACGGGTCAATAGCGTCGATGCAGTGTCATCATACGAACCACAGTATCCTAACCTCAAAAAACCACAAACAACGAGCTTGACTAGCAATAATGGAACTAGCTTGGATGACCGTGTCAGTCAGATGGAGCGCACTTTAGCTCGCATTGAGAAAAAACTTTCATCAACAAACCAAAATNCACATGACAGCTCAAAGCGATACTGTTGACAGCCTCGCCATGAGGGTGCCTGCTCCAACATTACACGGGCATTCCATTAACAACATTGAGTCCTGGTTCACGTGACTAGAGGCGTACTTTTCAATCATCGGCTTCGGTAAAATGAATGCTGATCAGCGTGACCAAGCCAAATTCAATATTGCGGTTATGCACATGGATGAAAGGCTCCATGAACAGACTTTTGAAATTATCCGCAATCCACCGGAGAAATGCAAGTACGACGCTCTACGACAAGCAATTTTGTCCAGATTCTCCACATCACCCATGGCAAGATTGGAGCAGCTAACATCAGGAATTCAGCTTGGTGACAACAAACCGAGTTTCCTATTAACCCAGCTGCAACGAACCGATGTAACACGAGACCAGCAACTCATAAAGGACTTCTGGATACAACGACTACCAGTCTCAGCACGCGCAGTCATCGCTGGAGTTACAAAAGCAAATCCTGAAATGACGGTCGAACAGCTAGCATAAATCGCGGACGAAATTGTTGATGACGTACGGGTTAATAGCGTCGATGGAGTGTCCTCATACGAACCACAACATTCTAACCTCAAAAAACCACAAACAACGAGCTTGACTAGCAATAATGGAACTAGCTTGGATGACCGTGTCAGTCAGATGGAGCGCACTTTAGCTCGCATTGAGAAAAAACTTTCATCAACAAACCCAAACCGCAGCCGCTCGGTTACACGACGTCAAGACCACAGCTCTTCAAGTCACCGTAGCCAATTTCAACAACGGAACAATGAACAGCAGATTTGCTGGTACCACAAGAAGTTTAACGCACAAGCAACAGCCCGTGCAGTTTTTCTCAACAGTGTTCAAAAAACTAAGCACTTCGGTGGCATCGCCATCTAATGTCACCGAATCATGTAGCGCGTCCCCAAACATCTATCAAACGCAGCAAGTTCAAACCTCAAACAAATACATTTTTCTTCTACTAATCGCCTTTTTATTCTTGATGCCTTATCAAAAAAACNTTGACAGCCTCGCCATGAGGGTGCCTGCTCCAACATTACACGGGCATTCCATTAACAACATTGAGTCCTGGTTCACGTGACTAGAGGCGTACTTTTCAATCATCGGCTTCGGTAAAATGAATGCTGATCAGCGTGACCAAGCCAAATTCAATATTTCGGTTATGCACATGGATGAAAGGCTCCATGAACAGACTTGAAATTATCCGCAATCCACCGGACAAATGCAAGTACGACGCTCTACGACAAGCAATTTTGGCCAGATTCTCCACATCACCTATGGCAAGATCGGAGCAGCTAACATCAGGAATTCAGCTTGGTGACAACAAACCGAGTTTCCTATTAAGACCAGCAACTCATAAAGGACTTCTGGATACAACGACTACCAGTCTCAGCACGCGCAGTCATCGCTGGAGTTACAAAAGCAAATCCTGAAATGACGGTCGAACAGCTAGCATCAATCGCGGACGAAATTGTTGATGACGTACGGGTTAATAGCGTCGATGGAGTGTCCTCATACGAACCACAACATTCTAACCTCAAAAAACCACAAACAA